ATATATATATATGAATCATATAGAATTCTATATAATTTTTTTTACTCAGGTGGGTATTTTGTGATTACTATAAAACATTCTTTTTTTTTTATCCAAGAGTATGTTACTCCAATGATTAACAATCTTTTAATAAACAGTATTTTGCGAATGAAATAATAGGAACTTAAAAAAAATTTAATTTCACAAAAATTATTAGTTTTGTCAAGTTCATAAATTGTTAGGCGGGCCCTCCAGCAATATATAAATCCATATACTAAACAAAAATAATTCCATCAAAATTTGAACTTTTAATTCTGATTCTACCTCTATCATTTTTTTAATTTTAAAGGAATTACAAATTCTAAAACAACGAATAATTTTAACAATATCATAGAATCATTTTTGCGATTTCATGTATATGTAGAGAATTTTATAAATCTATAGATAGATACCATTGTTACTTATATATTGATAATTAATAATTAATAAATTAGATGAAAAATTTTGTTCACTACGAACCGATTATGTATGCGATTTGCATTACTTGTAGTTACAACAAACTATGCACTTCAATTAAGTCTCTTAGGTAAACGGGTAGTAAATTAGTCTTTCAAGCGTCAGGTCCACGGTTCGAGTCCCACACGCGCCGTTTTTTTATTCTATGGAACTAATTATTTATAATGATACTTAATTCTATATAATTATTTATGGTCATTTTTCATAAATAATTATATAATATAATTATATATAATTTTTTTTACCCGGGCGGGTATATAGTCTGATATACTTATATCAAGGCATATATAGTCTGATATGGCCAATTTCCATATCAGGCCTGATATGGACGGCTTATATCAGGCCTGATATAGTCTGATCAGAAAATTTTTTCACGGGTTGTTAGGTGTAATAATAATATCTGGGAAATCTATGTTATAGTAATAATTAACGTTTCTTATTATTAAGATATTCGATATTGTGGCATATGAGGAAAGATATTATAGATATAAAAAGTACGATATTATTATAGTTATGTGATTTTTGTTTAACTCTAATGCCACAATATTTAACTTAACTATAAATAATGACTGATTGAACTAAAAATGTTCATATAAAATTGTGATAAATATTAAGTATTGGTAATCTTTATAAAAAATTGTGAAAGAAGTCGTCATAAGGCTTAATGGTTCTTTATATACAGTAATAGAATAAATACTGTTGCATGAGAGTAAGCTAAGTTTCTATTATTATCAAACATTTTAAAATTAATCATTGTAATTCGTGTTTTTTGTGTGTGATTTCAATTAATAATTGAATTCATCTAACATTTGAATTGAACAAAATAATTATGAATAATAATAAATTAACGATACAAAGTAAAATATAAGTTAAATAACTGACAAAACCAGTATTTTTATATAAAAAAGAGACCTAATAACAATCAAATTGTTGTTGATAATTTGTATCTGTTTATTGATGTTATTAAATATTTATAATTAATATTTCAGAAGATGAGTAATAAATCATTATTAATAAATGTTATAATTTTGTTTTTTAAAGAGATCCAAGTACCCTCCTAGAGTAAGGAATGCCTATAAAAAAATCATACGTATAAATACTTTTGTTATGCACCTCGAAATTAATTAATGAAATGTTGAGGTAATTTCCGAAAAATATACTTATTAAATAATTAACATTTAATTGACTCATAAAAAATTCAGCACTCTGAATTATCAGTATACACTTGACAACACCGTAAGAGTTCCCTGAACTTAGAATTTATTCATGTTTACTGTTTAACTAAAATAACTAAGTCTTCTAGCATTTAAAAAATCGCGTGTTTTATTTTTTTACGCCGGGTAACTAAGTGAGCGGTATTGCCAAGTCAAATAAAAGATTTTATTATTTAAAGAACGAAAGTTCCTTGTAATTTTTGTAAAAAATATAAAAATATCTCCTTAATACGTTCGGAAACCTACTTTTTTTATTATTGTAATTGAAAGTTTATTATTATTTTAATCAAATGCAATGAAAGTAAAATTTTTTGTTAAATCGTTAATTGCATTAAATATTTAACCAAATACACGGTTGGTGGAATCTCTATCTACATGTACAAATTACAATTCTTAAACCTAATTATTTAATCAAATATCCCGGAAACAAACTGTTTTTTAATTTCTTTATTAATTAATAGAGCACGTGGATTGAATTTACAAATTTTAAGAGTTTTAAAAATTTGACAACTTCGCGTGGATCTCCGTAATTAACCCAGTGGCATAATCAAAATTTCTATAAAAGATTAATGATAATTAAATTGCCGTTAGTTATTTAAATCAATCCAACAATACTGTGCAATATTTATAATCAATATTATATGAGATAATAAATAATATATGATTACAAATAGATATTCGTAATTTATGCTTTTTATTATCAAATCAATAATAAAATTACATTCTACATAGAAAATTTTTTTATATTAATGTTGATAGAAACTATCTTAAGTAGGAGCATCTTAATTCGTATTACAATAATGGTAAAAAATTATAATTATTCATGAACAATATTAATAACATTACTAACTAATTTTGTAATGACAATCTTACAAAATTTTTGTAATTACACTCAATCGTAATGGTTAAAAATCATAATAGAAATATTATCAATAATTAACTTATAGGCTACAGTGTATTGAAATATAATTACTTAAAAAATAATTACGCACAGGTAATAAAGATAAATTGAATTTTTGTCGGAAATTAGAAATAAAAAAAAATGTTTTCAATATAAAATAATAAAAAGTACGAACACTTCGTAACACGTAGATAATCTTAGAACATAAAATACGTGGCACATAAATATACTTATAGTACTTGACACATAGCCAAAATCAGTGCAATTGTAAAAATTGCGCCATCGCTCTGTTTGGCACAAGAATTACATCCTGAATGTTCACGGATACGAAAGGAATACCATCTATGAAAAATAAATAAAATATGTCGTATTAGCACAATAGAAAGATTGAAAAAATTCAATTTAGGATTTGAAACACTTACTATGATTTCGACAAAATTTTCCACGGACACGGACATAGCAACCTTCAATTAACCCTTGATTTTGAACAAAGGGGTGAACGTGAACTTTAATTTTATAATTTCCATCCACAATTAAACCCTTCCCGTAACGAAGACCACCATTATTAATTTCAGCAAATGTCAATTTCAGCCATCCTGAAACAACTGCAATATGAATAATTATTTTATTAGAATCATTTAAATAGTTTCGAAGGGATTATACATCAAATAAATAAAAATACGTTTATTACATATTATTCCAATGAATTGAGGAACTAATTGAATAGGAACGTCCACTTCTGTGGTTATCACATTAGCGCAAATGAATTGACCATGGTTTAAATTTATTACGGACTGCGGTAGAAAGAACACATCCCAGTCATGACCATAATCACGACGGAATTTTGACTTGCGGACTTGCACGTGTGACAGCTCGATAATCTAAGATAAAAAATCATGCATCGTCAAAATTATGAACAAATTTAAAATACAATATATGAAACCAAGTAAATGTTGAAATGTAAATATATATATATGGGGTATTCCATGCCAAATCGACCACTTTTGACCCCGACCCTTTTCGATTTGGCCGAAAGTTTTCCATCCTTTTCTACCCTATAAAAAACGGTTCTCAGAATTTTTTTGAATTTTTTTACCTAACTCCAAAAAAGTTATGAATTTTTCAAAAAAATGGCTTTTTTATTTTCAAATAGCCATAACTTTTTCAAAACTAAACATTTAGGTACCTTTTTTTTTCAAAATTTTTGTTTTTAGATGTACTTTCCGATAAAAAATATTAAAAAATTTTTGTAAGTCAATACATATGGAATTTTTCAGTTTTTTGACAAAAATCAATGCTTTTTCGAAGTTCGAAATTTTTTTTTTTAATTTTTTTTTT